CATCTCAGAAATATAGACAGATACTGAAAAGGGCGAAACGTTGTGATAAATATGGCGACAAAGATGAGGACATTAGTCCGAATAATGTAAATATTGGAAATATAGACAGATACTGAAAGAAACGTTGTAATAAATATGGACAAAGATGAGGACAATAGTCCGAATAATGTAAATATTGTACATAATACATCATCTCAGAAATATAGACAGATACTGAAGGGCCGAAACGTTGTAATAAATATGGCGACAAAGATGAGGACAATAAATAATGTAAATAAGGTACATAATACAAAAATATGAGGAAGGGCCGAAACGTTGTGATAAATAGTCCAAATATGAGGACAATAATAATGTAAATAGTGTATATAATACCTCATCTCAGAAATATAGACAGATACTGAAAGGGCGAAACGTTGTGATAAATATGGCGACAAAGATGAGGACATTAGTCCGAATAATGTAAATATTGTACATAATACATCATCTCAGAAATATAGACAGATACTGAAAGGCCGAAACGTTGTAATAAATATGGTGACAAAGATGAGGACAATAGTCCGAATAATGTAAATAGTGTACATAATACATCATCTCAGAAATATAGACAGATACTGAAGGGCCGAAACGTTGTAATAAATATGGCGACAAAGATGAGGACAATAGTCCGAGTAATGTAAATAAGGTACATAATACCTTATCTCAGAAATATAGACAGATACTGAAGGGCCGAAACGTTGTGATAAATATGGCGACAAATATGAGGACAATAGTCCGAGTAATGTAAATAGTGTATATAATACCTCATCTCAGAAATATAGACAGATACTGAAAGGGCGAAACGTTGTGATAAATATGGCGACAAAAATGAGGACATTAGTCCGAATAATGTAAATATTGTACAAGAAAGTATTAAACATCAAGTGCAAGAAAACAGAATGCATGGTTGTTTCAAAAATAATGTGCGCTAATGTGAATTGCAAATTGGAAATGCCAAAATCAAACAAGTGTGGAAATTTAAATATCTGGGAAGTGTTTTTTTTTTTTAACAGAGGACAGAAACAGCAACACTGAGAAAATATGCAAAAAAAATATACTATTAAGGATAGAGAATAAAATAACAAGAATACAGAAAACAGACGATAACGATTAACATTACAATAAATTTTTTTTAAGATAAAAGCTGATTGGGAAGCCGGAAGAGAGTTCCACAAGCGAGAAGTGCAGTAGAAGAAACTGTTAGCATAGAACTTACGGTGATGTGGTGAACATTTCTTCTCTGCCAAACTACCTATCCTCAAAATAGTGTGTGATTTCATATAAATAGTGTTGTTTATACTATTCTGTAGTGAGGAATAAAGCCTAATTTAAGTTACTCTGTTCTGTGTATTTTATTACAGATGATATCTAACATATTCAGCTGTAAAATGATGAGACCTTGCCGCCAATCCAGTACTGCGCTTACATTTATAAAGTTTAAGTTCCATAGAGGAATATTCTGTTATTCATGATGACGGTCGTCTTCGAGTATAGAATCCAGAGGTTAGCAGTGAATATTTCGAAGACAGCAGGAAAACGTTGTTCAGGTTAGCAGTGGATATTTTGGTAAAATTAGCAGAGCGTAGTTCTTCCTTCCGTTCCTCTTCGCCTGACAAGCTGGACTAGACATTCGGGTAGAGTGAACAAAAATGGCCGCCTTTATACACGACGGATTGAATATTCTACGTCTTCTGATTGGTTAACCTTCTATTGGTGGACTATAAAGTGGGTCAAGGCTTTTTGACTGGCTCACTAGTTATATATATATATATATATATATATATATATATATATATATATATATATATAAAACTGCAACATATTCGTCAGAACATTTACATGGAAAGTATTTATAGAAAAGACACAGGGAAGCTACATAACGATGATAGGGAATTCACTAAAGCTGAAATGTCAGGTCAGGACCAATAACATTGCTGAGTCTTCTTTGAGTTTTATTACGAATCCTAAAAATATATAGCAGGAGCACCAGACCAGATGTGGCAATAATATTCAAAGCCAGGACGAATTGTAGACTTATAAATATGTTAGATTCTGGCGAGATAAATTTCCAGGTAAGACCACAGCTGAAAAGGTACGAGAAAGTGAATGAAAGCGAGATGCCAGGAGAAGACCAATAACATTGGCGATGCTGTTTTTTCCCAGTGTAGATTTTGGATTATTTTAATGTCATCAATTCCAACAGTTCTTCCTTGCGTTCTTCGTCAAATTTTATCGCAGAATCTGCAAAAATCGGTATGCATCCTTTTGCATTTGCACTGCTTGTTCTGACATCAGCTTTTAAAGAGAAAATGTTTAGCTTTTGGTAAGTGGAATAGTTGATAGATTGAAACTTTTCTTTTTTTTTTTAACGAGTCGCGAAGGTTTTACTGAGAGTTTGTACAAAATTGAAAACAAACAAAATATTGCAATGAGAG